TCGCAAATTCTTCGTTCGCGAATCGGAGTCGCTCCGGAGCACAGCGGCAGTAGCAGCGGCAATAGCAAGAGATTCTCTCAGCTGAATAATATTATCGCGCTTTGCGACGCGAAAGTCAAAGTGCTCCAAATATGCGTGGAAACAGAGATATTTAATAATAATAATAATAATAATAATAATAAAAAGCGAAGTTTCGAGCACACACGGATGTGCAATTTTTATTCTTACAATTAGTGGACGTTCGCAGGAATTGCAAGAGCGCGATACTAGATTACACGATTGAACAAAGCGTGAAAGTGCGGCGGGTTCGCCGCGTGAGATTCAGTAGATGCAAGTTCACGGATGAGAGAACGCCCGATGCAACTTGGTGATCCATGTAGAAACGCGGCCTTGCCCGCGGATCTTTGATGCCGCTATCGTTGCATCACGGACTTCCTTCGCACTCGCACTCGCACTCGCGGTAACGAGCGCGCACGGTGACGAGGTCTCGGATATAAACGAGCAAAGCAACGTCGGTTGCAATCCGCGCAGTGTGGGATGCGACGATTTTAATTCCCGCGCGTGAGAGAGCCGCCGTCGATCTACGCCGCGGCCGTAGCTTGGAGAGGCGCAAGGGCGATTCCTGTTTGACGAAGTATAAGTAAGTTACTCGGCACAGCTTTTCATTTAGCTTTTCATTATTCTCTCGTCTCGCTGTGAGACGCGAGAAGCCACAGTGTGCGCAGCAAAACCCGAGAAATTTATACCACGCGACGCCCAGCTCCTGCGCTCGACTTCATATCGCGACGTCCGACAAGTACGGGTTATCGTCCGGTATCTCCACCTAGTTAAATTTTATCACGTGTAACCGCGCAGTAAGGATTCCTCTATTGTTTTTGCATAATGAACGATAATTAAAGTCTGTCGTTAACAAATGCCTAGCACTTACGAAACTTTCGATCGCCATTCGACGTAGTTCTACTTAAACTTAAAATTTATTTAACTTATAATTAATCAGTTTTATGTTAAATTGGATTTAAAAAAATTTGTTATTCCTCCCGTTAGTAACTTGTAATAAAAATTCATCGCTTATCTTAAACTGCGAAGTTTCGCGGACGACACCTCGCCGTTTGTAAGCTGATATTCTAAGAAGGTGACTTCTTTTACATTTGAAAATCGCTATTATTAAGAAACCGACATGAACAATAAAACGGAAGATTGGGTTCGTGCTATATTTACGTCGACGCGACTCTTGTATCACCAATCCTAATCGAGACGACGTGCCAAGAAATGTGGGTAAAGCATTTGGCGCACTTTGCGGAATTGTTAGGGCACTGTCTCTCGTCATAAATAAGTGTGTGACTCGTCTGACTCGTATAGAAGTCACGACGATTTTCATTTTAATACACGGGAAATTTTAAATCTTGCTTTCGACAAAACTATATCGATAATTTATTCTCATGGAATCATTAATATAATATTCGCTTAACAAATTATGCATGCTTTACCATGTATAAAATTTTTATTATTATGAACATATAAAATATTGCATATGATAATTAAATATTATTCTCTGAACACAATTTCGAATAGCACACTTCATATCATTGTCCAGTTATTTATGTCATAACAGTTTACATTAAATAACAACCTTTTACAAATGTTCTAAAAAGATTTCGATTGTGTGAATAAACGTTAAGGCGCCATTGAAAAGTTAGATGCTAATGATAACAATCAACGTGTTAAACAAATTAGGATTTCTAAAACGTCACAAAAAAATTAAATCAGCTTAAAAATAATCTTTTTTTGAGGGAAAATCTTTTTTGAGAAAACATATAGAGAGAAATATATAGAGAGAAACACACAGAGAAAAATAATTCAAGAAGAATGGTATAAGCCCAATATAAATCAAAAATAAATACATGGGAAGTATAATTAAAACTAACCAAATAATTCATGAGAAATCAGATCACGAAAGTTTAATTGAGATTTCACGTGAGAACTCGCGCGGCGGAAGTCAGTGAACTTTTTACAATGTATACGCAATGCGCGATAGACATGACGTTTCCGTTAGACCGCGCAATAGCGTCTTTGAGTTATTACACGATGTTAGCAGAGACTAACGAGAATTTATGGACGCGACAATGAGACGTCTAGTCTTGTCGACAATACGCGACGAGTGTCATCTCTCGTACTATTGACTCCGACCGCACTCTTGAAATTGTTCCCGAGACTTGATGGTTTTATTCACTTCGCCATTCGATGACGTTTTTCTCGAGCAGCGTAACTCGTTCATTTTGCATACATATATCGCTTCTGCTAATTTTAATGAACTCTTGAATTTCAAATCTCTTGACTATCAAATTTTCTTAAAAAGAGTCATGCACTTGAGAAAATTAAAGTTAAAAGAGGTAACCGTATGTTCTCCATTCATTTCCATCTTTTAATTATCTCGACGGGCACGTTTCCGATTATTTCTCGCAGCTTCAGAATTCTCTAATCGCTCTCTCCAAAGAAGAAATTAAACCTCACGAGCGACGTCAAATCATTATTTGATTCGCGCTCATTGCTCGATTCGTGTTTATCATCGCGCAGACCCGACGTGACGTGGATAGCGACATAACGGATGCGAAGTGCATTGAAAGTGCCTGCCGAAGACGGATTGAGTCAACTTGTGCTAATATTGTCGTTCGATAAATTCGGCGCGAACAAACAGCCGGCGACGCGTTCGATTATCATCGTGGTGAAACCTGCGTACACAAGCGACGATATTTTAATTCTCATCCAAGTAGTTGTACTATATATATATATATATATATATATATATATATATGCAAGCAAGTACCGAGAGTCGCGTCGATCATTGTAAGAGCCGTTTGAATGAAAGATGAATTCACGTCTGCATGTTTTGATTCGCGCAGCCGTCTTCAATCATCGTTCCTGTCGGCGGATCGACGATTTTACGAATTTTCTGACGAGCGTGTGTGCGTGACGCGCATATATACGTCAAGACAGATCGTGTTATGTTCTGTTTATCATCGTCCGTCGCATTTATTATCGCACGCCGTGCGATGGCACGCGTGCTATAAAAGCGTAACGATTAGCAATGTGCCAGAGCGCGATGTGTTAGCCATTCCACACTCCACGGTTGACCGAAATATAATTCGTCTCTCTCTCTGTCTCTCTCTCTCTTTCTTGCATACGAAATTTTGCAAATACAAAAATGTTTTTTTTTTATCATTTAGATTAGAGTGTGCGGCACATTCGAAGAATGGAATAGTTTTGTACAAAAATTTTCGTTCAATAATAAGCGCACGTGCACATCCTTTTCCTATTCCTTTTTCCCTCAAGTATTTCTATTGATTTTTATATCGTGATTTCTTCGGATCTAAATGTGAACATTAAAAATTATAATCCTAATTTTCATTTTTTTTTATTGATAACAATACCTTTAAAAGTAGCTCACGGCTCAATTAGAAATCACTTTTACAGCATCACTTTTATCGATGAAAAAAGAATTCGAAATATGGATGGACCAATGAGTCTGAATAATTTCGTACGTTTTGAATACGTGAAGTTTATCATGAAATTTGAGCGTGGTGCTCATGTGTGAGAGTCGATTTTCGAAGTTATAGCCGATATGATAATTACTCGCACAGTTACGTGTAGCGAGGAGTCGCGAAAACACGAAATAATGTATGCACACGAAGGAAATCAGGAATGCGGATCTACTGTTTTATCGAAAATAGCGACGTTCGTCTTTTTCTTCGTTTTTTTTTAGTCAATCGCCTTCGGATACCGCTTCTGATCGCTCGACCTTGCCTGTGATAGCCATCATCAGCGCGATTCCAATCACAATCGGAACTACTCCAATCGAACATATATATA